CTAACTGACTGGTGGGCAATGGAAGGATTTATATTCTTTGTAGTCATCTGATCATTAGCACTCTGAAGGTTGATCATTAGCTCTCTGAGAGTTGTTGATTCGAAGGTTTATCTGTATCCTCAAAATCACCTGAACCAGAATGTGAATGGGTGTGGAACCTTCTTGGGACTGCTGAAAGGACTGTGTGGTAAACAGGAGATAGGTGGTGTTATACCCCTCACCCTCTGCTGAGGAAAAGCTGTTCAGTTTTGACATAGATGGCTTCTTTGACCCCTCTTTCTAATCAGTGCTACTCTCTGTCCAGAATGTCTTCAAAAGAGTGACTTTTGTCTTTCAAATGCGGATGGACTGCTAAATCTTGTCCTGATGATTTTGTTCTCTTGTGTTGTGCCATGAGTTTGTGAAGTGGTTGTTTTGTTTCCCCAATGTATAGGTCTGCACATGTCTTGCTGCATTGCACTGCATATACCACATTGCTCAGTTTGTGTCTGGTGTTTTGTCCTTGGGGTGGACAAGCTTCTGACTTAATGTATAATTAAGTTTAAAGTGTGCCTGTATATTGAAAATGCTCCTGAGATTTTCAAATATTCCTGCAACATATAGAATTACAATATGCTCCATTTGTTGTTTTCTTTTTCTTTTTTTTGTCTGCTGGATCTTTTTGTGGATTTCTGGATTTCACTCTGGTATTTTGGACAGATTCCTGGGATCTGAATTCTAGTTGTGTTCCCTTTGCACAATGCCCAGTCTGGCCCATAATTCACCAAGTCTTTAGATGGAGTTACATGTATCTTTTATTTTTGGTAATCCCCAAAATTATGGTAATTTGCTCATTCAAGCAAATATTTTAAAGGCATTCTGTGTGCTAAGGCATTCTATGCTAAGGCATTGCTTTAACATTCCTAGTTTGGCTCACTGACAAATGCTCAAAATAGCTGACTGTGATGTGAGGCTGATTACCAGTTTTCAGAACATGTGGGGGTTTGTTCAGTGCAGCTATTTTTCACAAATCACTGGTACAGCAGTGTAACTGATGCAGAAACTTTTAAATAGTACAGTATACAAAATGGAAAGATGTTAATTAACTCTGTTGATTATTATGCACATCTATATATCTCAACATACTGTATCTCAGTGTGTGTCTTTTAAATTTTCTTTTACTCTGGGATAAAGAAGTACTGTTGATTATGATACACAAAAGAATAATTTCCAAAGCAACTTTCGTTTCTTATCCTTCATCAAATAAGTTACATATGTCTTTGTCACACAAGGTCCTTCAGTTTTATTTGTGGTTCTGGAAGCTGAACATTGATGGTCAGTTTCCTGTCACATTGGGATGGGCAGAAGTAAAAATTATACCGTAAGAACTAAATAGTTAGATCATAGTTAAAATCACAAAAAAGCAAAACAAACCAAAAAACCCCACTGAAATTCCTCCCACTCATTTGTCCCCTAAAATTTCAGATCTGGTTTTTGGTGGTGAATGGTTTGCTTATTCCTTATCGTATAAAAACCAACCTACCTATCAGACGGTTAGCTCTATCTACCAGAATTATGTTAGAAATTAGTAATACATTATCTCTCAATCAATTTTATTTCTTCACTTGGGGTTTTTCTTTTGCTGAAATGTTAAATAATGAAATTCAGGAAGAGGATATAAGATGTCATGCTGTGCAGATGGTGTAGTACTAACAATTATGCAAACATAAAACTCTATAAGATAGTGGATGAAAATAAACCAAGACTTTGGTCAATTTTCTGGATGTAAAATTAGTAAACAGCCAGACATAAGCTTTTCACTTTTAATTTTCTTGGCTCTTGCTGAGCTAAGTGACCTCCAAAAATCTCAGAGCTGGCAGAAATGACCAACCCATCCACATAAATTTCACTGCCACAGTGGTTACAGCCATCTTTCAGTAATAATAAAACCATGAACAGAAATTAAACAGAGCCATCAGCCTCGTATTGAAAACAAATCCCAAGTAATTATTCACATGGGGGACAGATATGTCCATCCAGGGACAATATAGATTTAGACACAGGTATAGTTGTTTTCCATTTGAACACAGCAACATCTGAAGGAGGTGGGCCTGATATCTGCCTTTGGCTCAGGAGTTTTAAATTCTGCACCGCATGTTAAAATTATATTCAGTGGCTGATGCCTCTGAATATCAGTTGCTGAGGAATAGCAGTGAGAGAAGGTTGTTATACTCCATCTTGTATGTGGGCTTCCCAGAGGCTGCTGTTGGAAACAACAAGTTTATTTATTTATTTAATTTCTATACCGCCCTCCTCCCGAAGGACTCGGGGCGGTGTACAGCCAATTAAAACATAATATATATACATCAATTTAAAAACCAATTCAAAGTAATAAATAATTTTGGCTCAGAATTAAAACCTAATTAAAACACCCAATTTAAAATCATTCACAAAGATAGCCCAGCCTGGCGGAACAGTAGGGTTTTAAGAGCAGAGCGAAATACACAGAGATCAGAAATCTTACGTATTTCCGGGGGCAGTTCGTTCCAAAGGGCAGGAGCAGCCACAGAAAAGGCTCTCCCCCTGGGTGTCACTAGCCAACATAACTTGGCCGACGGCATCCTGAGGAGCCCCTCTCTGTGGGAGCGAACTGGCCGGTGGGAGGCTACTGGCGGCAGAAGTCGGTCTCAGAGGTACCCCAGCCGTAAGCCATGGAGCGCTTTAAAGGTGGTAACCAATACCTTGAATCGCACCCGGAAGACCACTGGGAGACAGTGCAGCTCGCACAGGAGAGGTGTTACATGGGCGTAACAGGTCGCGCCCATAACCACCCGCACAGCCACATTCTGGACCAGTTGGAGCCTCCGAGTACTCTTCAAGGGGAGCCCCATGTAAAGAGCATTACAGTAGTCCAGCCGGGAGGTGACAAGGGCATGAGTGACCATGCACAAGGCGTCCCGATCTAGAAAGGGTTGCAACTGGCGGATCAGGGGAACCTGATAAAAAGCCCCCCTGGCCACGGCCATCATATGCTTTTCTAAAGACAGCGGTGCATCCAGGAGGATGCCCAGATTGCGAGCCCTCTGTCTGGGGGGGAGAGATTCACCCCCAATAGTCTGTGATGGCGCCAGCTGACTATATCGGGGCGTCGGAAGCCACAGCCACTCAGTCTTGGAAGGGTTGAGTTTGAGCCTATTTCTCCCCATCCAGACCCGCACGGCCTCCAGGCAGCGGGACATCACATCAAGAGCATCGTTGGGGTGGTCTGGGGTGAAGATGTACAGCTGAGTGTCATCAGCATACTGATGGACTCTCACCCCAAAACCACAGATGATCTCACCCAGCGGCTTCACATAAATGTTGAACAGAAGGGGCGAGAGGACCGACCCTTGCGGCACCCCCCAATCGAGGCATCTCGAGGTCGACCTCTGCCCCCGTCAACACAAACTGCGAGCGGTTGGAGAGGAAGGAGGAGAACCACCGTAGCACAGTGCCTCCTATTCCCAACCCCCTCAACCGCTGCAGCATGATACCATGGTCGATGGTATCAAAAGCCGCTGAGAGATCTAATAGGACCAGGACAGAGGAGCAACCCCTGTCCCGAGCCCTCCAGAGATCATCCACCAACGCGACCAATGCCGTTTCCGTGCTGTGCCCCTGCCTGAAGCCCGACTGGTACGGGTCCAAATAAGTAGCTTCATCCAGGTATTGGGGAAGTTGTTGTGCCACCACACTCAACAACCTTTGCCACAAAGCGAAGGTTGGAGACCGGACAATAATTAGATAAGATAGCCGGGTCCAGGGATGGCTTCTTGAGGAGGGGCCTCACCACCGCCTCTTTCAAAGCGGCGGGAAAGGCACCCTCACTCAAAGAAGCATTTATAATCCCCTGGAGCCAGCCTCGTGTAATCTCCTGGGAGGCCAGTACCAACCAGGAGGGACACGGGTCCAACAAACATGTGGCAGCACTAATCCTGCCCAGAATCCTGTCCACATCCTCAGGAGTCACAGGATCAAACCCTTCCCAGATAACATTCTGAAGACCTGCCCTGGTCTCCTCCCCTGGACTCACCCAGTTGGAGTCCAGGCCTTCCCGAATCTGAGCGACTTTATCATGCAGGAATTGTACAAAATCCTCAGCTCGACCCTGCAAGGGATCTTCCCACATTTCCCCCCGAAGAAGGGAGTGGGTCACACTAAACAGAGCGGCTGGGCGATTCTCTGCAGATGCGATAAGAGCGGAAAAATAGTTAGATTTTGCCACTTTTATTGCCACTAGGTAGGTCTTGATATACGCCCTCACCAGTGTTCGGTCAGAATCGGATTGACTAGTCCTCCAAATGCTCTCTAGGCGTCTTTTCCGACGCTTCATCTCTCTCAGCTCCTTGGAGAACCAAGGTGCTAACTGAGATTGGCATCGGGTCAGAGGCCGCAAAGGCACAATGTGGTCCAAGGCTTCGGCGGCCGCACTATCCCAAGTTGAATTCAACTAGGCCCTGAATTTAATCCAGCAAGGTTTTTCTTTTCCGTTTGCTCAAACATAATTGCTATTTTGGACCTCTTTGTGATTGAGGGATTTTAAAGAATATATACATAACCAGTCAGACATATTATGTTTATATTTATTTCTGAAATAAAACCAAGTGTGAATTTGAAAAGGACTGTTGTAGTGTAAAACAACCCTAAGACTCATAGACTGGGAACATTAAGTGTTTCATAGACTAAAATGATGGGCAAAGATAAGTAAGAAATAATAGGATTAAATTGCAGGATAATTATATTTGAATGTCAGTTCAGAGAACAGCAGACATTGCAAAAAGACTTTTATGACTATTATTATCGGTTCACATTTTTTTTCAATATAAGACAATACTGTACTGTTTCTGGGCTTTCTCTTTGTAATCTTTCAATAGTCTTGAAAATATCAGTTGCTGCAATGTTTTCTTGGGCCCATAAAAAGAGCTGAAAACCTTTCTAAGATACTTTTGGTCTTCTTTTAAAACGTTTGAATTCATTCCCAGGCAAACCAGGATGCAGTAATCAGCCGGGCTCCTGATCAGAAAGATGATCGAGCCATCAGTCTCCAGAGTACATCAGCAGTTTATGATCTCCTGAGTATCACTCTGGGCAGAAGAGGACAGTATGTCATGCTTTCTGAGGTATTTTTTTGTTTATTTGGTGCCGCCCAACCGCAGAGTGGCTCACACTAGAATAAGCAAAATATAAAACAAAATAATAAAAACAAAACCATACAACAGATGAACCAGAAAAGTAGGAAAGGAATGAGATAATGAATCCAGCAAACCCCACAGAAAATATACCACCACCAGGAGGTTCCAACCACTTCACTCCAAGGCCTGACTGAACATCCAGGTCTTTAAGACTCTCCAGAACATTATCAGGGTGAGAGCCATCCTTCTCAGAGGCAACAGCACTCCAGAAGGCAGCTGCCATGACAAAGTAGAGATATGCTTCCTGGGTCCTGATAGATTACTTTGTTTGATTGAAGGAACCTGGAGCATGCCAACCCTGTCAGCTCATATTGGCTGGGCAGAAGCAAGCTAGCAACCAATACAACTTGCAGACCAGAATTATCACAATCAGGAGAAGTTGGAGCTTCTGAGTTGTCTTTCAGGGTAAAACTGATGTAGAGCTCATTGAAATAGTCAACCTGTGTGAGATGATTAGGCTGTGAGTGACTATCTAAAGGGTTTCCTGGTCCAAGAGAGGATGCAATTGGTATACCAGGTGAAGTATATTTTGTATTTCTGGGTCCCTCTGTCAACCCTGAAGCTGACCTGACCGGAGCCATCTTGGAGCTTCAATGTTGCCGCACTGGAGCTGAGGGATAGGGAGGAAGAATTAGAGATACCTGGGATTTGTAACCAAAGTAAAATACTTTCTCTTGGGAACCAAGGACATTCTCACACCTGGACCGTGGAAGGAGGAGTGAGGTCACAGGCAACCAGAGAGTGTTTTGATTGGACCATGTGACTTATTGTTTGGAGTTGAGGGAAAACTTTCTCTTTTAATTAGGTGAAAACTGTGGGAACCTTCAAAGTCGGTTTTCCCCAGATTTGTGCCAATATGGTATCTCCAATAAAGCTATTCTTTGAGGGATTCATCTGCCTCGGAGTTTTGCTTGCTATGGGACTATTTTTTGGAACCTTGACATTAAACCGATTCTGAAGAGTCCCGAGGTTTTATACATTTGCTAAATTTGTGATATTTTATAAACATTAAGCCCCCCCCAAAAAAAATCATATTGTAAGTGTTTACATTTACCATGCTGCATTATATGTTATATCTATTGGAAATATTTTTGCATGTTAATTTTGTTGAAGAGATATCTAGGGTCCAGTTTTAAAGAAAGCTATACAAACTTGCATCCTAAGTATTGTAAAGATAGCATGAAGGATAAATGTAGGCCCTGAAAACACTTTATTTGGACCCCATTTGGGCACTTAATCCATCTCAGAAAGCCCTTTCTTCATGCATGCTTTGTTTTTAAACCCCAGAACACTGCACTATCTGAATGTGTCTCTCTCCTCCTTCAGGCTCTCCCTCCCTCCTTCCCCCCCTCTCTTTCTCTCTCTCCCCCCCCCTCTCTCTATATGATTATACAAAAAGTATAATCTATATTTTTTGTCCCCAGTGTTTAGAACGAGCAATGAAGCTTGCATTTGGTGAATTTCATCTCTGGTACCAGTTGGCTCTGGCCATGACAGCTTGTGGCAAGGTAAGACTTAAACAAGCAAACAGACTATTATATAGATAAGTAACAGTAACAGAGTTGGAAGGGACCTTGGAGGTCATCTAGTCCAATCCCCTGCTCACGCAGGAGACCTATACTGGGGATTCGAACTGCCGATCTTTCGGATCGACAAACTCAATGTCTTAGCCACTGAGCCATCTGAACTTGAAAACAAAATGCAATCTGAAATATTAGTGCTAAAATCATACAAGCATACAATATATTATATTATATTACATTTTTCCTATGTAATATAGTAATAATTTGTAACAATGATCATTCTTTTTGAATATAGATGCATTGAATGTCTAATAGAGATAACCAAAAGTAAGGCAGCAGGTTCTGCATACTCAGAGAATACCCACAGTATACATTTATACTATACATAATATAAAAATGTGTGAAGTACAGAAAACGGTAAATAATTATTTTTTAAAAATATGATGAACCCAAACCTATCTGCTTCAGTCCAGAGCACAAGGCATCCAAGTTTTTTCTTATTAAAAAATCTACCAAAAGTTTCATCATAATCCACCTTCCGTTTTCTTATGTCCTTGAAATTTCAGCAGCCAAACTTAAATAGAGAAAAATGTTCTGCTTTTGTTGTTGAAGAAATAGGCCTCAAAAAGCCTTGCCAATGTATGAAAATTACCTAATGATCAACCAGTAGATTTAGATGTTCTTCTATCTAGATCTCTTTCAGGCTGATTCCTAAACTGGTGAAATATTCTAGAATTAAGTGACATTATATTTGTGTATTATTATTAGGACTATATAAAGAAAATTTCCTGATAGTAAGAACTATATGGCAAAGGAAAAGTCTAAATCTGGAGGCTGTGACTTCTTGATATCTAAAGATTTTTAAGAACAACTAATGAAGAGTTTAATTGGTTTTCCTGCACATTGAAGAGGTTTGTAGTCGCTCAGTGTTTCTCAACCATGGCAATTAAGTTCACATATCTTAAAATTGCTAAGGTTGAGACACATTAAATTAGATTATCCTTGTGATGCCTTTCAACTCTAGAATTCTATCGGTCTATGAAAGACTGGCAGGAAAAAAATGTCCTCCTTTATCTGATAGTCTTTTAATCCTACTTTCAAAATGTTATTAAGAGAGTCATACTATATTTTATAGTATATACTATAGAGAGATATAATTTGGAGAACTGTGAAAATTATAATTTTTACTACGCACCATGATGCCAGAGATTCAGGGTTAGGGGAAAGGAATGATCAGCAAAGATAATCTTATCTGGTGAAGCCACTAAAAACCAAATATCTTTTTTGAATTGCCCTGGACCACAGCCAAGTCCAAACTTTATTAAAAACAAGATCTTACATCTGAGGTTTACTTTCATATATCTAGTGCTGAAAATGGGACTCATAAATCTGTGATTATCACAGAAACAGTTTGATGAGTCCTTCTATTTCCCCAGACACCTTCACATTTTGAAAACAAATTTATTCTTTTAAGTATAAGCAGAGAATCTCTTATTTTATATAGATTATGCTCATTGCTAAACAAGATTGTTTTGATTCAGCATTCCATTCTGTTTATTTCACACTTAATAAAAGATTGCATTTAAAAAATTAAGCTATTGAAATGACAACTTTATTTATTAATTTTTTTTTGCTGTCCATCTTGTTGCAAGGTAACTCTTAATAGAAATCCATCTTGCTGGTCAGCTCATTAATGAAACATGAAATTGGACTTTAACAAGCTTTATATATATTCATATATCCAAATTAAGCTTCAGGTGACCCATGAGCTTTGGATCTTAGTCTGTGGTATTTTTCCCTGGCCATGTCATCTTGTGAATGGATTGTTCCTTCCAGGTCAGATGATTATGTGGGATAGAGTAGAGAGCTGGGCAGAACATGAGACCAAGCTGAATAATTATTATATCTATGTACTGATTGTCTTATACATTGGGAGTGAGGAGGGAGAAACCCAACTAAGAGCTTACAGTATCTTCAGTAGAATTGGGCCACTGAAAAGTGGAATCCTTTAAGCAGCAGAAAGGTTGAAAGAGGGTACCATCTTAGAAATAAAGAAGCTATGGTCGTCTAGTTCTCTTGATCTGCCCCAAGAGAGAATCCTATGTTTGTCTCATACTGATGAGTGTTCTGGTGGCCCAAACCTGTCCATGGACTAGCACAGTTCTCCATTAGGCAACAGATAGATCAGACTGTTTCCTAGGAAGGTTTTTAATGCATAGCAACTTTTGTGTCCAGTGGTGTTTTTAGATCATTTTAATTTCTAGTTTAGGTTCTGCAGATATTCTATTTTCCATATAGGTACAAATAGTCCTTGACTTCCAGTGCTCATTTAACAATGGTTGGAAATTACAACATCCTTGGAAAAACATCCTTGGAAAAAGTGACTTATGACTCATCCTTGAAATTATGATTGCTGCACCACTCCCATGGTCACATGATTGAATTTAGGCACTTGGCAGCTGGTTCCCACTTCCAACAAGCTAAGTCAGTTCAGGAAACCAGATTCTATTAATGTCCATGGTAAAAAAAAAAAGGTTTTTTTTACCATGGACATAAAATTTTATGCAGTCATATGATGACTCACTTTAAGACTGCACTAACTTGCGGTGAAAACTCCAATCTCAGTTGTGATTGTAAATTGAGGACTAACTTGACTGTAAGTAGTCCTTGACTTACAATCATTTGTGTGATGACTGTTTAAAGTTATGACGGTGCTGAAAAAAGTGACTTATAACTGCTCCCCACACTTATGATTGTTGCAATGTCCCCATGATCATATGATCAAAATTTGGATGCTTGGCAACTGCATATATTACCAACAGTTGCTGCATGCCGGGGTCATGTGGTTTCCATTTGTGACCCTTCCAGGGGCTTCTGACAAGATTTTGGGGATGCACCAGCCAGATTTTGTTCTTCACCAAGGCATTGAGACCAGGGGTGGGTTCTACTTACCTTTACTACTGGTTCGCATCGCGCCCACATATGCTCTTCTGCGAATGCACAGCTCACTTATGATGACGTCCGGGTCAGTGGGCGGAGCCTCCCACCGGTTTTACTACTGGTCCGAACTGGGGGCAACCTACCACTGATTGAGACATGTATAAATCTGATGTTATGCATTTGTTGATTTAGATAAAATGTAAGGTAAGTGAACAGAATTAAATTGGAATGTTTTGCATGAATCTGGTGGTGAAAGTTGGTCACTGAATAAGAAAAGAACAATATAAGATGGAACTAAATAGTGCTTGTAATGTAATAAACTAATTGTTCAATACTGAGTATGGAATAATATCCCCTTAAGATATTTGTGTGGATAGCAAAACCAGAAGTGATAAGATCAAGAATGCTGTATTTGGTCACTTTCAGAGCTAGATAGAATGGATAAGGATCAAATAGCAAAAAAATATATATGAAGGAAGAATGAATACTACAAGAGGAAGGGGAGAATAGGAAATTATTGGATGGTATTTATGATTGGATTTATGATCCAATTATGATGGGAGGGAAGAAATGTAAAGAATAAAAGGCATCATAAGACATAATGTGTGGACATCATGGAGAGAAGGATGATTGATAAGGATAGGAAGATACTGAGAGTTACAGTGATTAATATTGCTACAAACTAGATTTAGCTATTTTTTTCTTATCTCATGTTTTAATTTATTTAGTTTATTTTTTCTATAATTTCTTGTCTCCTTTTGCACTTTACATGACATTGCTTACTGCAAAAGAGAATAGTTTGAGGCATGTATATAAGTCAAATGCAAATGTGTGGGTAAAATCATATCTTTCTTTTTAAAGATACTACTAAATATGCTGGGGATCTTTTCTGATCTCCAGCAGAAGAACTGTCACTGTATTATATATTAGGGTCTACAGGGCATGTGTATAACTATTATATTTTGTATTCTACTGGAATCTCTAGATATAAATACAAATCAGACAGCTAGAAAGAGAAGAACACTTAACAATTAAACTAATAGAAAACTTAAGAACTTCAATGTGATCTTTATTTTTTTTAAAAAAAAGAAAAGACACAATAGAAGGCACAAAAATGGGAAAAGAAAGTGGCCTTGTTACAAGTGGATTTTACAAAGCCTAGAGAAGTATGGAAAGTACTGTTTCCCTTACTTTCTACCATTCTGTTCAACAAGCACAGCTTAGAGGCAGAGCTAAGCACTTGCTCTTTATGCACAAATTAACCATGACCTTCAGTTTTTTACCTGAGATAGGCTAGCATGGAGAATGGTGAGCAATCCATTACTGGAAATATTTAAAAAGAAGTGGACATCATCTATCAAAGATGATATCCAGCATTGCTGAGTTGACCACTGAGGTTGATTAGATGATCACCTAGATTTACCCTACTATCGTTCCAGGAGATAATATCCCTTCATTTTTCATTGGTTCCGCATTAAAAGTCAAAGAGATAGAGACTCTTACATCCTTCTTCCAGGCCCAGCTTCAGCTAGCCACTTGCTTAGAGTACACATACACTTCGTTTCTTAACTGCCTCATTTAGCAACCATTCACAGTTAGGACAGTGATGAAAAAATAACTTTACAACCAATCCTCACACCCACAACCTCCACAGCTTTCCTTTTTAAAGCAAAGGAAAGCTGAAGTAAGATCATAAGCACAGTCATGGCTTCACTTAGTGACCACTTGCTCAATGACTAAGTTACTGGTCCCAATTGTAGTATTTCTGACTAGCATCTTCCAAATGCACTAAGCTACAACTCCGATCATCCCAGCCATCATGATCACTGATATATGCAATATATGCCTATAAGGAACCCTAAAGCTATTTTGTTAAATCTCTTCATATTAATATTCCAGGGCTAGCCAGAAAGTCAGTATCAGCAAGATCCAGATAATATTCATTTTATTTGAATGAGAAATCAGTCAGATGTTTTGAGTCACAAAATGCAAACATATTTGAGAAATATAAATGAAATAATGAGGCAAATCAATAATAAGGTTCA